TTTTTTTTTTTTTCCCGAAACGATAGAAATACTATAAAAGCACAAAAATGCAACGAGTACAAATTACACGACCCCAAAAGGGTAATATCTACGACCCCAACAGGGTAATGAGACAGGGGCCAACGGCCCACATTTTGATATTTTTTTAGAGTTGGGATTTTGAATGACAATTTTAAACTTTTTAATATTTTAGTGTATAGGTGAAATTTTGAATGAAATTTCATCGCAAGATTTTTTTTTTTTCCTTTAGAAATTCTAGCAAATTTTAAAGGACGCAATTAGATATGAGTTATAACTGGTTATGATTGGTTGAATTATTTCATATCCAACCATCTAACTCAAAATTCAATTCAACTCAATCCTCACACTTTTATACATATAATTAAATAATACTCCCTCCTATTTTTAATAAATGTCGTTTTGAGAAGTTGCACAATAATTAAAAATATTTTTTTTGCCAATAATAACCCTCATTAATGAGGGTAGGGATTGATATTTTGAGAAAAGATGGAGAGTGAATCTATTACTATATAATACGGAGAAGAAAAATTATTTGAACAATTCGAAAATAATCATTTCGTTTTCCCGCTTCAATATAGTGTTTTTCCCGCTTCTTCAATTCGTAAATTTTTTTTTTGAATTTTTGCAGCTCATGTAATTAGGTAACCAATCAAATCGAATCTTTTAGCATTCAATTTGGTAAGGTGTTCCGATTTTAGCATTCAAATCCGATTTCACTTCCTTTTTTTATGCCAATCAATCCGATTTTTTTGGTTGTTTCAAAATTTGTTTAGATTTATATTTTTATTTTATTAATATACTTGAAAGAGAATCAATAAATGTTTATCATAACTTTTATTTTAAAAATAAATTTGAATAAGCATACCTTTTACTTTATATTAAATTCAAAATTACATATTTTAATATATTAATAAACGTTTATTATTTATTTTTTCCTTATGTGATATAATAGAATTTCGGTATTAAATTTGTAAATTCAAACATTTAAAGGAAAAGATTCCAAACAATTTTTTTGGGTAAATTTCATTTTATCTTGGTTTTCATTATCACATTTCTAACAAACTAATTAGTATTATATTTTTTTATCTACATTATCTAACCGATTTTTTATGATACAATTAATATAATATCTTAACAAATTAATCATTTGTCTAACCGGATTTATCTCTCTAACAAACTTGCCAATTTTTTTAAAATTAAAATGGTATGATTATTCTTATGGAGATACTTATCAATATATTAAATATTTAGAAACTTTTTTAAAAAATGAATTATCTCTCCTTTTATTTTATTTGAAATTCTGACTTATATTTTTAAATATATTATTATTTATTTTTTTACATGTAAATATTTATTATTTATTATCTAAGTGATAAATATTATTGATTTATCTCTTTAATAAATATTTATTATTTATTTTTCTCCTTACGTGATAATGTAAATTTGGTTACTAGATTTTAAATTCAAACATTTACGAAAAAACCACGAACAAATTTTTTGGTTAAATTTTATTTTATTTTAACTTCCATATAATCACAATCCTAACAAACTAATTAGTATAATATTTTTTTACCCATTTTTATATAATCGGATTTCTTAAAATATAATTAATATAACATTTTAACTATTTAATCATTTGTATAACTTGATTTAACTCATTATCAAACTTGCCAATTTCTTTTTGAAATTAAAAAAACATTTGAAAGATTTTTATTTGTAAAATAATAAAAAATAGCTTTACTTTAAAGTCTGAATTATTTCCATTATTTTTTGTACGTTAACAATCATATATTTTGGATTATTGATTTAAAAAAAAAATCAAAACCGTAAGGTTTAATAATATTCCTTAAATAAAAAATATTGTATAAAGAAAAGTATTTAATATTATATATTTTTCATTGATTGTATTTATTTTATTTTCATAATAGACGAGATGTGAAAAATATAAATAATTCTATTTAAAATAAAGTCTAAAAAATGTTTAAAATATGAACTCTTCCGTGCATTGCACGGGATATACACTAGTATGAAAAGACATAGTGTATTTATTAGTTAGATGAGGATAATAATGGAAAAATGTGTACAAAATAGCCAAAACGACATTTATTTACCAAATGATCAATTAAGCTATGATGACAAATAATAAAAATAGGAGTATCAATCAAACATTCTCACACGTCTCGTTAACTTTAATTCACTATTCATCCACTTATATAATTTTAACTGCATATCACTTCTAATAATCGCTCTCCTACTTTTATATCACATCAACTTTAATTATTATATTTTATATATATTATTTAATTTCAAACTCAAAATCATCCACATAATCTACCTTATTCAAAATAACTTAGTTTAACTCACTTTAACCAAACAAAACCGATCAAAATCAGTTGGATTCATAGCCCATCGCGCTCAAAAGTCTTCACAAATCCTAGTCTTAACTAAGTTAAATAACACAGAATTTTGTAAGACTTTTTAAAATCTAAAATGAATACTCCAATACTTTTAAAAGTCTTAAAAACTTTTAAAAGTCTTAAAAAGTCTTAAAATATTTAAATTAAATGGACTAGGATTTTCAAAATCTTAAAAAGGTATGCACATTGGACTTCTTCCTACTGCTCTGCTGCTGCTACTAGTAGCTGCTTCACTTTATGTTAAGACTTGTTTAATTTCTGTCTTCAACCAGAAAAAAATAAAAAATAAAAATAAAAGAATTCAACCAATGTATACAGATATAAATAAAATCACCAATATAATTAATTTCATCAAACAAATAAACTAAAATAAATTCATGAGGGTTTGCTTGCTTAATCAATTTCCTAGCTAAAGCCGG